AACACATAATAATATATATATATATATATATATATATATATATTATGTTTTATTCAATTGCATATGGTCAAAAATATCTAAATTTATCACTTCTTCATGGCGTCCATATTGAAATTTTTCCCGCCTTCGAAAGTAGTAGTAATCGACTAATAACCTATACAAAAGAAAATCAAATAAATATTTAAAATATATAAAATTAATCAATTAAATTAATAAAATAAAATAAAAACTAAGTACAAGTTCCACGTTAGAAAAATATAATATAAACTATCTACAATTTTAATCATTAAACAAATGAATAAAAAAAGCCATTAGCTGTCAAAAAATTTCTAATAATTTAAGAATATAAGAAACACATATAATTGAATAATGTATCTAATAATATATTATGTAATTACACATTGACACAAATGATGAAAATTAATTATGAAAATAAATATAACTCAAGAAAAAATGAACGTCTAAGCACAATTGACACTACACATTTCACGTTACGATTTTGATTATCGAATTATAAATTAGAATATATTCAATTCAATATATTCGTATAATTCAATAAATCGAATATAAAAGTAAACTTCCAATTTGGAAAAGCTATAAGAAATATATTATATTCTTCGAATATAATATAGACAAAAGATAAAAACAAATATAATATAAATAATATAAATAGATTTGAAAAGAAATTTAGAAAGGAAATATAAATTTAAAGAAATTGTAAATAAACTATTGTATATTTGTGTCAATATGAATAAATTAATTCTAAATATATTTTTATGAAAAAATGTTACCTGATGTATCAATATTTGTAATCAAATTTCTGTGTCATAAAAAAACATATCTATTTTGTTACTTATCTATAATTTTTGATTCAAGAACTATCATATTGTCAATTTTTATTCTATACTTATATTTCTCACTTTTTTTGTCTTTTTTTATATAATTTTCTTATATATTTTATATTTTATCATTTGCGATATCTTGAAAATATTTTTAATCTATTTCTATTTTTCTTCTAATATTTTCTCTCTTTATCATTTATTAAGACAAGATTATTAAGAGAAATCCCGAACGAAGGATTTTTTCCTTTCTTTTCCCTTTAGGCCATTTTTATAATCCTACCATTATTGCCATTATTGCCATCAGTCATACTATCTATATTATATTTAGCAATTGCTAAACAATAACTCCCACCACTGTTTTTTCTCGCACTATCTTTTCTTCAAGTTTCTCAAATCCCTTAAATCCCTCGATCTGGTAAAGTTGTTCTTGTCTATAGTTTCTTTTGGCACATGACAAACAAATCAATTGAACATATTTTTATCATTTTTTTTTCAAAATAATGTATTTTAATTTTTAATGGAAAAAATATAAATATTATATTCTTGTTTATAACTTTAGGATGATCATCTCACAAAATATTCATCTTGATATATAAGTGTTTTGACGGGAGTGTTTTGACGCGAGTATTACACATTATCTATAGCAATATAGCAAATACGCTATGGCTACATTCACTTAATACGACATCTGTTGACTGTGCTTTGCAAAGATCAGTGACAATGCCACAATGGCAGGTTCCATAGAGATTCCACTTCGTGATACAGATGAGGTGAATATTTTTATTTTTAATTCTCAATTTTATAATTTTTAAGTGATTAGAAGTAGTCTAAACGATTGTTGTTAATATGTGATTTGTGCATAAGTTCAAATTCTTTAAATACTCAAAATATAAAAATAATTTTCATATGCCTAACCTCTACACCAGAAATGTTTATAAAATAAATTGTGTACACTAGCCTATATTATCAATAATGTTTCTTAAATAAAATTTATTTTAGAATATAATATTATAAATTACTATTGTTTTATTTGTTTTAATCATATAATTTTTAATTTGATTTATTACTTTATTTTGTTCATATTATTTTCAGTATGTTATTCATTTATATTATGTCTAGTGAAATATTAAATATTAATTATTTGTTAACTAAAATTTTTCAGTTTTTTTATCTTTTTTTATGTTTATTATGTTTTATATATTTAAGTTTTTTATCATATCACTGATTAATTATTTCAATTTATAAAATTACATTTTATTAGGTAATTGAGCTATACCTTGATCAATTACCAGAGGGTGATGAAGTTCTTGGAATTTTACGTCAAGAACATGCGCAACTTAATATTTGGGTCAATTTGGCCGTATGTATTACAAAATATAATATGTATAATATAAAAATGATAGAAAATAAAATATATTGTTTTTTATTACAGCTTGAATATTATAAACAACATAAAATCGATGATTTCATTAAAATACTTGAATCTTCTCGAATTGATGCTAATATTGATTACCGTGACTATGAAAAAGATCAAATGCGTGCATTGGATATGTTGGCTGCATATTATGTGCAGGAAGCCAACAGAGAAAAAAATAAAGATAAGAAAAGAGATCTCTTTACAAAAGCTACTTTATTATACACAACTGCAGATAAAATTATTATGTATGATCAGGTATATACTATATTTTTAATAATTTATTTAACATTGAAAAATATTTAAAATTTATTTATATATAATATTTTTTGTGTACAGAATCATTTACTTGGCAGAGCTTATTTCTGTCTCCTGGAGGGTGATAAGATGGATCAAGCTGATGCCCAATTTAATTTTGTACTAAATCAATCTCCTAATAATATTCCTTCTTTACTTGGAAAAGCATGTATAGCATTTAACAAGAAAGATTATAGAGGTGCACTTGCTTTTTATAAAAAAGCTTTAAGAACAAATCCAAATTGTCCAGCTGCTGTGAGGTTGGGAATGGGCCATTGTTTCATGAAATTAAATAATCAAGAAAAGGCGCGTTTAGCATTTGAAAGAGCATTACAATTAGATGGTCAATGTGTTGGAGCATTAGTTGGTCTTTCAGTCTTGAAATTAAATCAACAACAACCTGATAGTATTAGAACCGGTGTGCAAATGTTGTCTAAAGCTTATACAATTGATTCAACAAATCCTATGGTTTTAAATCATTTGGCAAATCATTTTTTCTTAAAAAAGATTATAACAAAGTACAACACTTGGCACTTCATGCATTTCATAATACTGAAAATGAAGCTATGCGTGCTGAGAGTTGCTATCAATTAGCCAGAGCATTTCATGTGCAAGTAAGTTTCTTTTTAATATAGAATTTTTTTTTAATATTTTGTGAATTCTGACAAATAATTAAACTATTTCAGGGTGATTATGATCAAGCATTTCAATATTATTATCAAGCAACACAATTTGCGCCACCAGTATTTGTATTACCTCATTTTGGCTTAGGTCAAATGTATGTTTATAGAGGTGATGCAGAAAATGTAAGTATAACGAGTTTTATTATGCAAAAGAATAAAAATAATAGATTTTAAATAATTTAATTTTTTTATCACAGGCAGCACAATGTTTCGAGAAAGTATTAAAAGCTCAACCAGGTAATTATGAAACAATGAAAATTCTTGGATCGTTATACGCAAATTCAAGTTCTCAATCAAAACGCGACATCGCTAAAAACCATCTTAGAAAAGTAACTGAACAATTTCCCGATGATGTTGAAGCCTGGATCGAATTGGCTCAAATATTAGAACAAAGTGACCTTAACGCAGCCTTAAATGCATATGGTACTGCAACTAGAATTTTAAAAGAAAAAGTTCAAGCGGATATACCGCCTGAAATTCTAAATAACGTTGGAGCTCTACATTATAGGTATATTCCATATTTTTTATCTTAAATTTATCATTGTATAATATATACTGTTAAGACTAATATTTATTATCTTATTATAGACTTGGAAATTTGGAAGAAGCTAGAAAAAATTTGGAAGAATCTTTAGCACGTTCCAAAGCAGATGCCTTACATGATTCTGTATATTATAATTCAATAGCAGTTACGACAACATATAATTTGGCACGATTGAACGAAGCTTTATGTATATTTGATAAAGCGGAAAAATTATACAAAGACATTTTAAAAGAGCATCCAAATTACGTGGATTGTTATTTACGACTTGGTTGTATGGCTCGAGATAAGGGACAAATTTATGAAGCGTCTGATTGGTTTAAAGATGCTTTAAGAATAAATAATGAGCATCCAGATGCGTGGTCTCTTTTGGGTAATTTACATTTGGCCAAAATGGAATGGGGTCCAGGTCAAAAAAAATTTGAAAGAATTTTAAAAAATCCAACAACAAGTACTGATGCCTATTCATTAATTGCATTGGGTAATATTTGGCTTCAAACATTGCATCAAAGTGGAAAAGATAAGGATCGAGAAAAGCGACATCAAGATAGAGCACTAGCTATGTATAAACAGGTATAATAACAAAAAATAATAAGTTTTTATGTTCATAAATACATGTTGGAATTTTCATCAGGTTTTAAGAAATGATCCTAAAAATATTTGGGCTGCAAACGGGATTGGAGCTGTATTAGCACATAAAGGTTGTGTAAATGAAGCCAGAGATATTTTTGCTCAAGTTCGAGAAGCGACAGCAGAATTTTGTGATGTTTGGTTAAATATTGCACACATTTACGTAGAACAAAAACAATTTGTTAGCGCTATTCAAATGGTAATTTTTATCTTATATTTACTATCATAAAAAATAAAATAATAATTTTTTATAAATATTTAATTTTTTACAGTATGAAAATTGTCTTCGGAAATTCTATAAATATCATCATGTTGAAGTTTTACAATATCTTGGAAGAGCTTATTTTAAAGCTGGTAAATTGAAAGAGGCAAAATTGACATTATTAAAGGTAATTCAAAACAATTTGTTATATTATTGTTAATACTCATTAAATATGAAAACCTAATTAATCCTAATTTGTAACATTTAGGCAAGAAGAGTAGCTCCACAAGATACTGTTTTATTGTACAATATTGCACTTGTTCTTCAACGTTTAGCCACACAAATTTTAAAAGATGAAAAATCTACCTTAACGACAGTACTCCAAGCGGTTCATGAATTGGGACTTTCACATAAATATTTCCAATATTTATCAGCTCATGGTGACAGAATGGAACAACTTGCAGAAGCAGAAGCAAGAAGATGTCAAGATTTGTTATCACAAGCACAATATCATGTCGCTCGAGCTAGGCGATTAGACGAGGAAGAAAAAATGCTCAGAAGAAAACAAGAAGAAGAAAGGTAATTATTTAAACATAATCAATATTTGAAATTTATTTATATTATAACAATAATTATGGATTAATTTATAGACAAGCATTTAAAATGCGACAAACGGAGGAACAACGGAAACTTGAAGAAATGCGCCGTCAAAAAGAAGAGGAAATGTTGCAAAAACGTCAAGAATATGTTGAAAAGACAAAGAATGCTTTAGTATTTGGCGAAATGCCTTCAGAAAAGCCTGGAAAGAAAGGAAAAAGAGTACGTACTGATCAATATGTTAGTGACAGTGGTGGGTCTGGAAGAGAAGAAGGTAGAGAGGAAGCTCCTAGAGAAAAGAAACGCAAAAGGAAAGCTAGTGGAGAACGCAAAGAAAGAAAAGGCAAGGGTAAAGGAAAACGTAAGAAAGAATTGGCGAGTGGAGAAAGTGGTGAGATAGCATTTCATAATTTTCAATTATGTAAATAATCATTGAGAGTTAAGAAAAAAAAACATTTTTATTTTTAATATTTAGGTTCAGAAAGCGATCGGCCTAAGCCGAAACGTGGAAGGAAAGGTGGAGCCAAGAAAGACAAAGGATTTCGAAAAAGTACAAGTGAAACTACAAAAGGTAAAATGCCTTTATCGAAAGAGACAATATCGACCAGCGAATCTGATAGTGATTCAGGTGGTCTTAAAATTGCCAGCGGGTAAGAATCATTCGTGAGCATAATATTCGATAATATATGATACATAATAAAATTAATGATATTTTTCAGAGGTGAAAGTGGCAATGAAGGCCGTGCACGTGGAAGTAGGCGAATTATGTCTGACTCCGAAGGTTCTCGTGCATCACGTTCTAGATCTCGTTCCAGATCAAAATCCAGAAGTCGTTCTAGAAGTACCTCACGTTCACGATCGCGTTCACGATCACAATCTCGATCCCAATCTCGATCTGTATCCCATTCACGATCTAGATCGCGTTCAGGTTCAAAATCAAAAAGTCAATCGCGATCGAGAAGTCCATCAAGATCAAGATCCGGTTCAGCAAAGAGTATGTCACGTTCGAGATCAGGTTCTAGATCAAGATCAGGATCGAGAAAGAGTCAATCACGATCGAGATCGCGTAGTGGATCCAGAAAAAGTGGATCACAACCAAGATCAAGATCAGGTTCTGCAGCTAGCGCAGGGTCAAGATCAAGATCACCTAGTGGTTCTAGAAAAGCAGCTTCGCGATCTAGATCAAGATCAAGATCAGGATCTAGAAGTGGTTCACAATCAGAATCAGAACGTAAATCAAGGAGTAAAAGCCGATCAAAATCCAAATCTGCATCAAGATCGCGTTCCGGTTCAAGATCAAAAAGTGGTTCCCGAAGTCGTAGTCCAAGTGGTTCAGCAAGGTAAATAATATTAAAATAAATTTATAAAATAAAACATGACTTTCATTTGTATATATTACAATTATTTTATTTCAGATCTGCTACTCCAGAATCTAGAAAATCAGTTTCAGGTAGTGATGTTGGTTCTCGCCATTCAAGTACTGATCGAGGCGGTGGAAGTGAAAGTGAATAAAATTGACTTTGAAATATTTGTATTTATTACATTAAGATAATGACCATAAGTTTTAACTTAGACAAGCTTATAAGTCGGTTAATATGAAATCACAGATTTTTTGTTTACAGGTACCAATTGTAGTACTTAGCTTAATTATGCCGTATAAAGTATATTAAATAGAGAATAAAATATTATGTAAGCTTTGGTATATACAGTTTTGCGGTTTTAAATACTGTCATAATTCTTTAGAAATATGAGAATGAAGTTCTACAGATACAGTTTTGACAGGGAGTAGTAGCCGCTAATCATTTTTGATATTATTAATCGACAATTTTATTGAGTTTCGGAATCGCTGAAGCTCTATTAACTAATATATTCTAGTTCCACAGAGACAGAGAAGATTAGATAGAGTAACATTAATTTTAAAAAAATATACAGTAACATTGAAGTTAGATAGAATCCATACAACCATGGATTGACAATTACGGTTAATACAATCAGAGTATGCTATTATTAGAAGAATTGAAATTGTTGAAAGTATACGTCATTTATTACAATCTCATTTTGTTTTGTCGTTTTTTTTTTTTAATAAAATTTATGACAGGGTTTCACACTCACACTTTTTTATCGTCTGATTCAAATGAATCCAAATGAATTAAGTTTTATTTAGTATGATTTTTCTTTTCATTTTTAAAATATTTATATATATCTTGGTATATATCTAGATCATTTATTAATAGAGTCATTTGATAGAGAATCTCTCTTAAATAAACCTAATCTAATCCGTCTTTGTCAGAACATATCCTAAAGTTAACCAAATCTATCTAAAAACTTAGAAATATGATTTAAAATATTTTAGTAGTAATTGAAATTAAGGCCGAGCGGCAATTATATCTATAAGTAAAATTACTCAGGATATTGATCTTGATAATATATTTCAAGATCATCGAAATCGGAGAAGTGTGCCTCTTTGTAAATAATTATCCATGCTTTTGTAAAAGTCAAATTTGCATAAAATATATATAATTTTTGCGATATGTTTGTTAACGCATGTTTTAGAGGATTATTTAAATTAAAATAAAATCATTATGTTAATATAGTACCAAAAACTAGCAATCATTTGAAATTTCAATTTTAACAATAATTTCGATTTTTTTCGATATTATATCGAAAAAATTATATCGAAATATAATTTCGAGATGACTAACAATCTTCAGATCGAATGATTCCAATCATAGTTGTACATCAGTTGAACTTTTATGTTCGCGGCTTATCTTAATACCCGTTAGTTTCAGTTTAAGGACTAGAGTGTTTATTTTCTTCAGATTGTATATAAAAGGAAGTACAACTTCATGATGTAAGGTAATTGTAATTTTATGCAAACTTATTTTCATATTGTTTACATTAATTCAATGTGTAATAAAATGATTTGCTTTTTGAATCATCTATTGATATATTGTACAATAAACAAATAGTTTTAATTAATATTATACATTGAAATTATTCAATAAGAAAAATCATATAATTAGCACATAATCTAGCAAAAAATATTTGTTTAATTATATCACTCAACATGAAGCAAAAAAAAAAAAAAAAAACAATATTAAGATTGTATTAATTACGAAAAGATTGTTTTTTTTTATCAAAAAACATGAATAAAAAATGATTGGAATCGATTTTTCTATTGTGTTCTTTTTAATCGTAATACATAATTAAAATATTCTGCATATAGCATCAAAAAATTTTCTATATTATAATTATATAAAATAAATGATTAAAGTTTAAAATTTAAAAATTATCGAACATCACTGATAATATTGATGTCAATGCATTTATATCGTTCTTTTATTCAATTTAGTATATTAAATAGCATATGCAATGCATACATATATAGAGTATACAGAGTTTGACATTATATCATTGATTATCAAATATACATATATTATTTCTACGTAATCGATTTATAATATTTATAAGATAAATAAAAAAATGTAAGTATATATAATATAATTACACTTCAAAATATATAATTATCTTTGATTTATATAATTTAATGACAAAGGATAAATGATTCACTATTTTAATTAATCCTTCAAATGTTGCAATTAGAATAATGCCTCAAAAATATTTTTATAAACTATCACTTTTTGATACTAGAATTTATCATTTATTACACCATTCAAATGGTGTAAGCATATAGGAATATATATACATCGTTGTGTATACGTATATATATGTATATATATGATGTGAAAAATCTCATTTGAGTTTGCGTAAAAAAAATGACAAAGGAAACAAAGAAAAAAAAGAAAAATAGAATAATAAAGAGATAAGGATATTGGTTTTAGCCAAACTTCAAAGATTCTGAGTATTCGAAACGTTTATCCTTTCGATTCGACTTGTGAAAGGATTTATTTTACTTTCCTTCCTATTTGACTAGCATTTTCGTGTAAAATCGTTAAAAGGAGTTTCCTCTACAATAGATATTCTCTATAAAGCCACTTATAAAGAAACATAAATTTTAATTAGGTTTCTTGAATAAACTTATACTATATATAGCGAGCGGATATTTGAGCGGATATTTTTTTAATTATTCGGTAGCTTGACGAAAAGAATTGTTCTTTTGAATATCTTGAAATTAATTAAGAGAATAGTCTCTTGTAAATTTTACATAATTGTTATTCCGAAATAAATTTTTACAATCTAAAAAGAAAAAAACGATGCCATCAAGTACGCTATAAATGTCACATCAATAATTTGTTAATAAATTGTTTTTAATCCGGATTATATAAATTTTTTTCGTCAGTCATACCTCAATTCATAAAATATTTGTGCAAATATTATCGATAATTCTTTTCGTATTTACGCTACAACAATTTTTAATCCCTTTCTTCCTCCGCAAAATAAAATTAAACTTTTCATCCCAGAACCTTTTTTCAACCGATGCGAAATCGACAACATTTTTATCAAAGCGATTAGTTCCGACCATTATTCACGATTCATGACACTTTATCATATATCCACTATAATCTCGTAGGATAACAATAACTTCACGAAATCTAAGGAACTTACATTTTCTTCGACTTCCAAGTCTGCATTCGACCTCGTTTTAAAGAGATGCGGAATGCAATATTTCTTCCGCATAAGAAAAATCGAGCGATGTTGAGGCGGCAGTGACCCACTTATAAATCGAAAAATCTTGAAATATATGTGTATCTTCCTCGATCATTTTCCTCTGTATCGATATTCCTCTTCCTGTATTTTTCCTTCGTTTTTTTCTTTTCCTTGGGGAAAAATATTGAATGCACTTTCTCAAGATATACTTGAGAAAGCTCTTGAAAATTTTATAATGTTCTTCGAAATAGAGGTTTCCAATCCTATAAGTTTAATTAGTTTCATATATCGCGTTTTATGTGTATATGTCTCTCTCTCTCTCTC